TTCTTTCTTGGAAGTGATTGTTTGGCTTCATTCAAAAAGATACTCTTTAGGTCACCTATATACTCATCGATTTCATCTGTAGTTTCCCCCATCAAATTGGTTTTTAGATCCTGTAACCCTTTCTAGATACACTGTGTATATTATAACATATGGTCATGTAACTCCTTTCCAATTTTTGCATGTACGTCTTTTTTTCTCTTAATTCCATGAAATGTTGGAAGTGCTTTCGGTAGACAGATATTCTAAAATATCGGAAGATGATCTGAGCAGTTAAGATGATTTCTTCTCAAGAATCATTGGGCAGATTATCCCCAAACTTACAAACAAGGATGGAGATATGTTGTAGATTTATAATTGTTCAAGGCATCACCTTGGGGCAAAGGGCATGGTCTCAAGGTCACTTCAAATTTGACCAAAAAGTACGTTTTGTTAAATCTTCGATATTTTCTTACTTTAGGGACAGGGATCATCTCTTGTCAGTTGATGCATCTTAGGACCTCAGACATGTATCATGTTGACTTAGAAGTAGGTCACAGTGACCTACTCTTTGAATTTTTTCGACATTCGTTTCAAATTGTTTAACAGGCATATTTTAGAACTTAAAGACCTATGATCATCAACCTTTTTGTCGCTTGATGCATCTTGGGTCCTCGGAGTATGTATATGAAAAGTAGGTCACCTTGACCAACATTTTGAATTATATGGCTTATTTTTTTCAAAACATTTAAGGTATTTAGATTTTAGAATTTAGATTTATTCTAGACCGATAGAAAAGTACATACACTATTTAAACGGTTAGGAAATTTAATTTATTTTTTAATCAGTAATGAAAATTGAAATACAATTCTTTTTTTTCCTTCTCTCATTGAACATCTTAAAATTAATGTAGTTTATTTTATCAATATTTTGTGATCTTATTGATAATTTAAATAATTTTTTTTAAATCAAATCAATGGCCAGCACTTATCATCTAAATTTAAACTGAGTTTGCGGAGACTATGTGTTTGTACATGCTTGACCACAGCCTATTGTTCCCCTTAGGTAGAAAATCCTTTCAAATCACATAGAATATACAAAAAAATGCACAGTCACAGGTGTCTTCGCGACACATGTCTCCATCTGTGGCACGTGAGAACAGGTGCCCGCGATTACAAGGATCAGCGCAATGATTAAATTTTATCTGACCAGTTTACACTGATTTTTCTAAAATTAAATGTTGTATTAAATCTTCTCTATTAATTCTAATTCACGTGTCTTTATGAGTTTTACCGAGACTAAAATGTTAAAAATTATTTGATTTGGGTTTACGGTCACAGAGTATTCAATCTTATTACACAGAATTACACAAAGAGTTTTTTTTTTTATTATTCTTTTGATTCATATTTCCAAAATGTCTATTACATGTATCTGGAAAATAGGTGTAAACCACAGCATACGTGTTTACGATATCTGGGAAACATGCGGGAACTTACAGGTTGATTGCTTCCATATTGGGAATCCAAGTGGAAACCACTACTGCATGTTTCCACGGTTTCCCATATTGGGAAACTTACGGGAACCACAGGTTGATTGTTTCTATATCGGGAATATATGTGGAAACCACTATGTGGTTTCCATAGAATGGAAACTATATGGAAACTACTGATGTCACGATTCCCATATGTTTCCATCGGGTTTCCAAATTTGGGACAGACATACTTTATTTCCTCTATAGTATAGAGATTGGTTCTATCATATTGAAAAACATTTAAGGTCAACAGTGCATAAGTTAATAATATATTACAGGTGCAGTGAAGACAAAAAGTTCACGTTTTTTTTCTTTTTCCCAGTTTTGAAATTTCAAAGAGTTTTTATCTTTCACTATAAAAGATTTTTCGTGTCCTTAAGCATCCCTGTAATGCCGGTAAAAACCGACAATATAAAGGTGGTCCATTCCTCTTCTGGGATGATTCCATCTTTTCTAGACCTTAGAAGATTATTCACTATAATAGTTTCGGACTTGTGCGTGAAATCGACATATATGTTGACTGGTAGGAGTTAACAATCAGGGTCATAAGATGTTCACGGCTTTTAAACAGATTTGGACAGTCTAAGATAAAATGTAAAACGATATCCTGTGTACTTTTTTGCACAATTTGCACACTACTTCTTCTTCCGTCTCATACGTAATTGAAAGATTTATGAGTTCGAATAGTTTCCAAGTAAATTCTGGGTGCTGGAGGCTAAGCATCCAAAGTGGATGGGGTGTAAGTCCTTGATGTATTTCCTCGAAACGATTTAGTTCTGGTCGGCCTCCAAGTGAGGTTCTCCATTCATCATAAGAAGAAAGGTTTACAAGATTGCTGATGTACTGATTCCAACTAAGTTTTGACGGTGTTTCTCTGTTGAGGAGGTACCTCGCTGAAGAAGTACTCTATATTGTAACTTTTCATTATCTTATAAATACAGTCTATAGATCCGCGTTTCCTTTGAAGTGTATTATCAGAGAAAGAACACAACCTTGCAATAAATAGACGCTTAGAAAAAATGTGTAGCTAGATCTACAAAGACGTTTCCAGAGAAGTAGCTGGTTCTTCTGAATAAGCTTTTTGAATTTTATGAGTCCCAACGAGTACATAGTGCATGGTGATGGAGATTGTCGATCGAATCCTTGAATCCTGCGTGCTGCAAATCTTTGTAATATTTCAAGATTCTCTATTGATTTCTTTGAAATAATTGTCCTCACCTCGCAGCCATATAAGACGACTGGTACAACAACAGTATTCCATAGTTTGGAACTTAATCGTATTGTTTTCAAGTTTCACTTCATGCTCTTGCATATCGAATCTACTGAGAGATATACAGATCTTGTACGATTCTCCAATTCAATAGGAATACCTTTATCATGGATTTCATTGAACTCAGTGTGAATCGTGTCTAAAATATTATTTGTTCACGTCAAAGCCAATGCTCTGCAACAACAAAAAATATCGCTTTCATCTAACAATAAAGGCAATGGGAATAAATTCCTTCGTTTCAGCATATATCTCTTGATATTGTCGAAATAAATAGCCTCAGAAGAGTCTTTATGTGTCTGAAAAATTCACTTTTTTTAACACATGTTTCACCTAAATCAATGTAGACAGCATAAAACTGTTTTTTTCCTCCTGTAAAAGACCATTCTCAAAGCTTTTGAATACAGTTTTAACATCTAGGGTATTGAAAAGTTTTTTTTATCTATTAAGGATTTATATAGCATAAAATAAACATTTCATGCTGAGGCAATTAAAGTCATGAAAACATGAGTTGAGTTATAAAATATATATTTTGTTCCGTATCTGCCTTTTTTGTCCCCCGCTTTCACTGAAAGTGGAGGATATTAATTTGGATCTGTCTGTCCGTCCGTACGTCCGTCTGTATTTCTGTCTGTCTGTAACACTTTCGTTTCCGCGCGATATCTCGAGAACCCTTTGAGCTTTCGCAATGAAATTTTGCATAGCAAATCCCTATGGACTAAAGAAGAACTCTTTTAATTTTGAGGTCAACAGGCCAAAGGTCAAGGTCATAAATTCATAGATTCTGTCTGTTTTAACACTTTCGTTTCCGCGCGATATTTCGCGAGTTCTTCAAGCTTTTGCAGTGAAATTTTACATAACAACTCCCTGTGGCCTAAGGAAGACCTCTATTGATTTTGAGTCAAAAGGTCAAAGCTCAAGGTCGTAAATTCCCAAATTCCGTCTGTGTGTAACACTTTCGTTTCCGGGCGATATCTCAAAAAGCTTTTGAGCTTTTGCAAAGAAATTTTATACCATAACTCCGTATGGTATCTCTCGCCCCTTTCAAAGTGTCCCACCCAAATTTTTTTTTTATTTATTGTATATTTAAAAGTCGCTTGGCACTATTTTTAGCACAGGGGCATGTGGAGAGTTATTACGTATAATACAGGTTGTCGGCCAACTTTATATTCTAATTACATCTATTAGAACTATTTAGTAAAGGCTAAAATAGACAATATGTAATGTGTAAAATCTGACAATATCGAACGTGAATATAAACATTATATGTGACCTAATGTTTGCATTTAATCAGACTTAACTCAATATGAGTCATATTATGGAAATGAGTAGATCAACCTTCTTGTTACAAAGTCAAAGAAGCATAACTCTTATGACATTATCATTATTGACTTTGTGTGTGACCTAATGTTGGCCTTTAATTTGCTGTATAATCAAGTGCCTCCGTGGTCTAGGGTATGTTGCTCGCTTAGCAAGCGAGAGGCCCGGGTTCGATTCTATTTTTCTTTTGTTAATGTTTTTTTATTTTTTTGGATTTACTAAATGATACTATTCAACATGTGAAATGAAAAAGTTATGATGTCTGGCGTGTACAAACTCATAAAATCATTATTACAGTGTTATAAATATTCTGTATATTAAAAAGAAACTTCTATACACATATTAAAGAATAAGCAATCAAATCTTTATATCCATATTGGCATTTTTTTTAAATTTGCTTCAGTATACATGTATACATTTAATAATTCTACAAATACAGGGGTCAGTGCCCCCCCCCCCTCCGAACTGCGCATGCTCTTCTTTTTTCTCTAAGCAGGGGACACAAATTCTCTGAATTAGCTTGTTTAATTAGATCACTATATAACAGAAAAAATATTGAATAAATGATTATAGTTACATGGATCTATAACGTGTTGAAGATTTTTGTTTGTAAACGTTTTCTCCTAAGTACCTTAGTGTTTCCTCATAATGAGAAATGTAAAAATAAAGGGAAATAATCTAATTATGAAATAAGTGTTGAGATAGCGATGTATTAATGAGTTAAAGAGAATATTTCTTAATTTAGTATGTTTTGGAGTGATTCTAAGGAAATATCTAAGTTTCATGCATTACATACTAAAAGCCGATTTCCGGAGATTAAAACAAGGAACAGCAAATAAATTCACTTAAAAAAATTGTTCCTAAAACAAATAAAATCCAGTATTTATATTGTAGTCATATAATATAATGCGACTGAAAGTTTTTTGTTTTGTGTACTCTTTAAGTGTCTCCATGTTTTCTTGCCAAAACCTAACCGGAGATAATATATGTCGATATGGGTAAGTGTAGTGTTTTTTCGCGGTAACTAGTTTTCAGTATACAAGCATGTCTTAAAAAAATATAGTTATTATCAACATTATTTTGTAGAATGACCATGGTTTGTTGTAAGGATTTTAAGCAAGTCGGAAATATGTGTGTAGGTATGTGATCCAACCATCAAAAAGATCTATGTTTACTTTTAGACTTATAATATTTATATTCTGGTTTATGTCTCTGAAATGATATTTATTATGAAAAACAGATAACTTCTGCATGAGAAAAATAGGGAAATCTCACCTCATCGCTTTAATTGAACACATTTTATTTTGAAGAAATATTCGATAAAGTTCACAAGATAAAACGTATTTTCAGAATGTGACCCGGGTTATAGGGGAGCTAACTGTTCTGTGACCTGCCCAACCAACTACTTTGGACAGCGATGTAGCCAGAAATGTGACTGTTTGCCATTTCAGTACTGTGATGCTATGAGTGGTTGCCAATGTAACGAGACCAGTGCACGTTGTCCAGATTCTGACGGTATATTTTTAAAATCCATAATTAGTAAAGAAGTAAAAAAGAAAACGACTCTGAATTTTTTACCAAGAGTTTATTCTGACGATGCAAAACACTTGCACCTTCGGCAATGCTTCTATAGGACAGACTTTGCAGATACTCTGTTTTAAGCATCGCTTATTAATTTGCATATTAATCTTAGTTGTTTGACAAAACATAAAAAAATGTTTGATTTTTTCCTCTTTGACATTTATTGCATGTTTACAAATTTGAAATTTAAACTCCTTAATCTTAGAAACACCATAAAAATGAACACGAAGTGTCCATTTTTTTTCTTGGATTAAAAATATTGATATCGTAATTGAAAATTGATTTTTACTAATAATTGACCAATAAGGATTCGTCTAAGGAAAATTAACTTATCTCCAGTGGCATTGATGTAATTTCTTTTTCTCTTTATTAAAAAAAAGAAACACAGTTGAGAACAACAGGAGAAGGAAAAATAGGAACCAATTACCAATACAGTGCGTATTTCACAACTTAAATGAAGGTAAACCTAAACATTATTAGGTCGATTTTTTAAATGAAGTTTTTAATTGTAGATATTGCCCCTACTTCCAATACCTGTGTCATCCATGGAGCAATATCATCAACTCCGTCTTTTATTGCCTTGATTTTTATCGCAATCACTTGCTTAAGGTATCTTGTTTGAAGTTCAGAATTATATGAAATATGAAATGAATCCATCTAGATAAACGTACATTTGAAAGTATTTTTGCATACTTTTTTTTAGATTTTGAATGAAGGATATCAACAATGACTGAAGCAAGGTAAACATAGATTTAGTTAAGTTGATACAAACATTATATTTCCCTGAATGCATTCTCGAAACCGAAATCTCTGTGAATAAAACATCAGTTTTCGCTATGTATAGAATCCTTATTGACAGTGATATGCGATGAGGATATAACACCATTTTATAGATATTTCTATGAAAGAAGAGACTAATTACTCTTTTTACAATATCGAAACAATGATGTTTTCTCCCATGCATATCTCAAGTATTCACAAAACATTGTAATACAAGGGTAAAATGTGACTTTTTTATTTACAGAAAGAAGTTAGGGATGATCTTTCTTTTGTGCTATAAAACTGACAGACAGGATGTGGAGAACAAAGAAAAACAAATAAAGAATCAAAGAGCTGAGAATGACTAAGCTTTAGGTCAACTTTGATTTACAATACTTCTTAAAGTAACTTTTAAAAGCAATCAACTCAAAATAGACTAGTATTTAAGATATGTTTTCAGTGCAATATGTAGTTATCATTCCAAACAAAATGACGAAAGTCCCATCTCTGAACAAAAGGAAAATATGTCCAAGATTTAAACTTGTCAGTATTACATGCAAAGCTATTTATCAGAGCACAAAAGATAAACCCTCTACTAATTGAACGATGGCAACAGTTGTTTGTATTCGTTTGTTGGAATAATTTATATCTTTCAGCAAGAATGATATTATTCAATTAAATTTCCAGCCCTTGAAAAGGAATGGATGAAACTCTTTATAAAAGGGCAACAATCTGAAATAGATCTTCTTTATATGTGCTTCATACAGCAATATTGATTTTTATAACAGTTTTCGGAAATTCGAAAGTTTACAAAGATGCTTAGGTGCTCTTACACAACATAGTTCCTTATTTGTATAAAATATTCAGTTTTTTTTTTAAAAAGGAACTTAACATCAAATGTGCAAAAAGATACAAGTACACACATATCATTTTTTGTCTTAAGCGATATTTGTTGTGGATTGCTTTTTTAAAATTGTACTTCATAAAAATATTGATTCAAGTCATTTAGTCATTTAGTCAAATAGTGAGTATTTCCTCATTTTTCCTTTATATAATATTATTTTTATAAAATGATCAGGAATTTTGATGTTTTTTGATTGGTCTATACTACTAGTATCTTTCCTGCGGTGGACCACACATTGAGTTCAATTCAGAATGAAGTTCCAGGAGATTTATTTTGGTTGTTCATCTCAACCAAACATAGACTTGCTTACATGTATATTTTTATCAACCAATCAAATTGCATGTTTTAAAGGTTAGGTTGTGAACGTATCCATGACAGACCGCTAGTTCAAAGAAACTTTAAAAGCTATTGTTTGAATATTTATTTTTTCATAATATTGTTTTCTACTTTTGAAACAGTTGTTTAACTGCCGAAATCTAATTATGCTGATTGCTTCTATTTGCTATATAGACAGGAACTACAATTTGAAAAATGTAAAATTCCTGATTATTTCTAATTAATAAAATGATTATTGACCTTGAATTCGGTGACTCGTGAATGTACTCTTCACTATATATACAGACCTGGTCAGGTATTGGTTGACCCGGCCTTCGGTCTCGGTCAACCAGTACCTGACCAGGTCCGTAAGTGCAATTAAAGTAACATTGATTCTATTATGTTCTTACACAACCTAGTTCCTTGGTTGTTTGAAATATTCAGGTTTTTTTTAAAGGAAATTAACATTGAATGTACTAAAAGATGCTATATTGCAGGTAAATTGTATCTTGCAATGAATTTCAATAAATTTATTTTTACTTGAAATTTAGATTTGTCATTTTATTACTCAACTTAACCCACTACCATGTGATCTATTATTGGCAAGATGGTCATTTAAAACTGTCAATAAATGCTAAAATGAACTTTAATTTCAGTTGCAATATCAGCAGGAGAAAAAAATTAATCACTGAGAATGATATTTATTACACATACGTGTGGTATTGTATTATCACTATTTTTTTTCTGGAATATAACGATTGTTCAGTGCTTGTTCACTTTCAATCCAAATCCCATCCAAATCCGACAAAGTTTAAGCACAAGGTATGAACAATGCTGCTGTATGCAGTGCAGAATGCATAGACTGGTAAACACTAACAAATGTTCTCTGCCTGTTATGTTCAGCTGAAGGACCATGAACCCTGACAAGATAACTTTATATATTTATATATCCAAAGTCTATCAGTCTATGAGCAATAATAATAATAACTAGATGCGTTTCTTGTTGCTAGGGCAACAAGTGGTCTTCCGACCGAACTTTTCTCCAGAACGCTATGCTATCTCACTTTATTTAATACTTTATTGAAGGTATTTTTTGTTTGCGTTTATGTAACACAGTCTTTCAACATAGATCATAATTATTAAAGGATTTCTGTAGAATCTCTGTTAACAAAGCTTTAAAAAAAATAAGCAAAAACTATCATACATGTCGTCACGGAGAAAAATATTATTCATAACTGAAAAAAGAGAGAAACAATCTCCCGCCCCAGCAGGATTCGAACCCGCAACATTCGAGAAAGTTTGGATAGGTCATATCTTTGCAATAAATACATCAATCAAAATGATGAAACCATACATAGAATTCTTGGAAGACTTTCTATTAACCCTGTAAATATCAAAGAAAAATATTGAAAAACAAAAAAGTTGCAAATTTAACATTTTTGAATTCACTTCCGTTCGCAACCGGAAGTCCGAACGACGAAAAATAAAGGTCGATCACCATATCTCCATTTGATGCTTTATCACGTCAGTGAGTTTCAATTTCATATCTTTAGCCGTTCTCGAGAAAATTAACGGACAAAATTCCATTTAAAAAAAACAAATTTCCCCAAAAATCGCGAACGGAAGTGATTTTTCAAAAAATGAAAAACATGTCTGGAGATATTCTCACGATGCATCTTCCCTGAAAAAATCTTTGAAATCCGTCCACTCACAGCTGAGATATCGGCCGTACTATGAAAAAAGAATAATAATAATAACTAGATGGTTCTCGTTGCGAGCAACGAGTGGGTCTTCCGTCTCATTTTGGATAAGATTAGTCAAGATCTTGACTGAGATATTCGTCTGTAAAAATTGAAAGGATGCTTATTGTTTAAAACATTATTCTGAACATCTTTTGTTCATTATTGCTTATCAAAATATTTTCCCTTGTTGGAGGTGTCAAAGATTTAGCATTCTGGCCCCTTATTACGTAACATATGATCAAAATTTTATAATATATAGTTGCAGAATGTAAAGATATACATTTTTGCTTCAGTAATTTATAACAAAATATTCATCATTAAAAAGTTATAGATGAAAGACTTTCGGCCCTTCTGAGCCCCTAATTTGAGGGGTCAGCCCCTTTTTCTTGATATCAAATGAAAGGTCTTGTGATTTTGAAGTTTTTTTGTTCAACAACTATTCAGAAATTTCCTTTCGTTTAAGAGTTATATAGAATAACAATATTTAGGGGCCAGCCCTCCAAGTCCTTAATGGGGATGTCTTGCAAAAAATAAAAGGGTGTATATTGTTTAGAACATTATTCTGAACATCTTTTGTTCAATATTGCTTATCAAAATATTTCCCCTTTTCGAGATATAATGTGTCAAAGATTTAGCATTCTGGCCCCTTATGGCCCCTTATTACGTAACATATGATCAAAATTTTATAATATATAGTTGCAGAGTGTTAAGATGAACATTTTTGCTTCAGTAATTTATAACAAAATATTGATCATTAAAGAGTTATAGATGAAAGACTTTTGGCCCTTCTGAGCCCCTAATTTGAGGGGTTAGCCCCTTTTTCTTGATATCAAATGAAAGGTCTTGTGATTTTGAAGACTTTTTGTTCAACAACTATTCAGAAATTTCCTTTCGTTTAAGAGATATATAGAATAACAATATTTAGGGGCCAGCCCTCCAAGTCCTTAATGGGGATGTCTTGCAAAAAATAAAAGGGTGTATATTGTTTAGAACATTATTCTGAACATCTTTTGTTCAATATTGCTTATCAAAATATTTCCCCTTTTCGAGATATAATGTGTCAAAGATTTAGCATTCTGGCCCCTTATGGCCCCTTATTACGTAACATATGATCAAAATTTTATAATATATAGTTGCAGAGTGTTAAGATGAACATTTTTGCTTCAGTAATTTATAACAAAATATTGATCATTAAAGAGTTATAGATGAAAGACTTTTAGCCCTTCTGAGCCCCTAATTTGAGGGGTTAGCCCCTTTTTCTTGATATCAAATGAAAGGTCTTGTGATTTTGAAGACTTTTTGTTCAACAACTATTCAGAAATTTCCTTTCGTTTAAGAGATATATAGAATAACAATATTTAGGGGCCAGCCCTCCAAGTCCTTAATGGGGATGTCTTGCAAAAAATAAAAGGGTGTATATTGTTTAGAACATTATTCTGAACATCTTTTGTTCAATATTGCTTATCAAAATATTTCCCCTTTTCGAGATATAATGTGTCAAAGATTTAGCATTCTGGCCCCTTATGGCCCCTTATTACGTAACATATGATCAAAATTTTATAATATATAGTTGCAGAGTGTTAAGATAAACATTTTTGCTTCAGTAATTTATAACAAAATATTGATCATTAAAGAGTTATAGATGAAAGACTTTTGGCCCTTCTGAGCCCCTAATTTGAGGGGTTAGCCCCTTTTTCATGATATCAAATGAAAGGTCTTGTGATTTTGAAGACTTTTTGTTCAACAACTATTCAGAAATTTCCTTTCGTTTAAGAGATATATAGAATAACAATATTTAGGGGCCAGCCCTCCAAGTCCTTAATGGGGATGTCTTGCAAAAAATAAAAGGGTGTATATTGTTTAGAACATTATTCTGAACATCTTTTGTTCAATATTGCTTATCAAAATATTTCCCCTTTTCGAGATATAATGTGTCAAAGATTTAGCATTCTGGCCCCTTATGGCCCCTTATTACGTAACATATGATCAAAATTTTATAATATATAGTTGCAGAGTGTTAAGATAAACATTTTTGCTTCAGTAATTTATAACAAAATATTGATCATTAAAGAGTTATAGATGAAAGACTTTTGGCCCTTCTGAGCCCCTAATTTGAGGAGTCGGCCCCTTTTTCTTGATATCAAATAAAAGGTCTTGTGATTTTAAAGACTTTTTGTTCAATATGTTTTAACAAAATACTTTTATTTAAATTGTTATTATAAGAAATGTCTCTAAAATTCACTCATAAATCACGTCCTAAATTTTGACCCCTACCGAGCTTCCATACTTCGCACTTCCGGAAAATTTGAAAACCAAGGTGCACAACTAGAACATGTCCTCTATCACCACTGAAAGTTTCAGCACTCTAGCTTTTGTCGTTCTTGAGTTTTTGTGCAGACACGAAGTCTATCAAAAAATCGATCAAAGGGCGATAACTTCCGACCGGAAGTGATTTCTCAAAAACTGAAGCGGCGTTATAAACTTCAGATAGCAACGCATTAACCCTGAAAATTTGAAGCAAATCGATCGAGCGATCTCCGAGAAATCTTCTGCACAAAATCGGTAAGGAAAAAAAAAAGAATAATAATAATAACTAGATGCGATCTCGTTGCGAGCAACGAGTGGGTCTTCCGTCCGATTTTTGATAAGATGAGATACGAATTTGACTGAGATTTTCGTTTATGAATATATAAATAGTGAAAACATACAATTTGCTTCAGTTATGTTTAACAAAATTTTGATCATTATGCCACCAAAAACGCAATATCTGATGAAGATTTTAAAATATTTATAGTAGCAGATCGTGAAGATGAACATTACTGTAAAAAGGTTATAGATGAAAGAATTTTAGCCCTTTTGAGCCCCTAATTCGAGCGGTCTTGATATCACATGAAACGTCTTGTAATTCTGAAGACTTTTTGTTCAACAACTGTTCAGAAGTTTCGTTTCGTTTTTGAGATATGTAGACTTGAAATATTT